ACACAGACAGACACAAATTCATCCCTCCACTGCCTCCAGCCTGATGACTGCATCTGTCAGTGTGATCCTTTTGTTGTTGTTGTTCTAGAATATTGCTTCATCTTTGATGGGATCTTGAAAAACAAAGTCAAAATATGAGAGAAGCCAAATGTTCTCTCTCCCTCCCAGAATGGGCCCACATTTGTTCCATGCATAAATCACAGAAAATGGCTTAGATCCAGCCACCTTGCTCACAGAGGCACACACTGGAGTAGGAGCTGTCAAATTTCCATTACTTAATTGGGTTGGTAGTCACAGTGTCATCATAAATCTTTGTTGTTGATGTGCAGTTCAGAAAGTGCTTTTCACTTGGGGCCCAAACCAGGCCGAATGAAGCACCTGCAACATTTTGGGCAAAAAAATAAGCACCGTGTTTTGAATGGGACGTACAAATCCCATTGATTTCCAGAAGTCAGCTCTAAGCATGACGGAGGTAGAGAACTGTAACTGTGTAGTGCTTTCCCTACAGAGGTAGTATCAATGTTATTATTCTTTGAAAACCAGGGGGATACATCCCTCTTCTCCTGGACATCAGTGTAGTTCCAGAAGAAAGGTTCAAGTAGAATTTGGAAAAGCGATGTTCTTGGACTAGTATGCCCAGAATCCCCAGGCTACCATGGACAAAGCAATTTCCCCAAGAGCTGGTTCGGAGGGGCACTTACGAAAGGCTGATTTCCTTGTAGCCATTTGTCTCCATCTGTGTTCTTTGGGACCTTTTCTATGGACCTTATCACACTGGAGAAATCCCATGCATAAACGGGGTTTTAAACAGAAAAAAAAACCTGCAAAAGCAGGTAGATTTTCAGACGATGACACTATTAAAGTGTGGTTAACCCGAATGGAAAATAGTCAAAAGTCGCTTCTTTTTTACTTTCAGAAAATCCCAAAAGTAAAAATGAGTGGCTTTTGACTACTTTCCGTTTGAGTTAACCACACATTATCAGCGATGTGTGTGAAAATCAACCCGCTTTTGTGGGTTTCCCCTACCTTTTAAATCCCATTTCTGCACGGGATTTCCCCTGTGTGATAAGGTCCTATGACTGCAGTCCAACAATGCTTCAAGCGATGAAATGATCTTTACACTCATATACTTAGTCCTTCCCCAGTAACATTTCCTCCTTTCCTCCTCTATTTTCTGGTTTGATAAAACCATATTCCCCCCCCCCTGAAAAGCTGTGTCCTTTCACTTTACACAGCTGTAGCACCATACTCCATTTTAACTGCTATGGCAGCATCCCTGGCATTTGTAGTCTGATGAGGCACTAGAACTCTCTGGCTGAGAATTCTAAACACGATTTCCAAAACTGCAAATCCCAAGATTCTACAGAATGGACATGATGGCAGTGAAAGTGGAGTCATCATGTTATAACTGCCCTGGTTTTATAATCCTAGTTTATGGTTTGCTCAAAAGAGGACGTTCTGACTATAGGTCGACCCCATGTATAAATGTATAAAAGTATAGATTTTGATATCACCCATAGATAAGCCGAGGGTAAAATGTAGGGGCATGTAACAAAGGATGGAAAGGATGGAGTGAAGGAAAACAATGCCAAAGAACTTACAAAATTCTAGCAGGTATAACTGTGTTCAACCTAAAACCTGGATGGATGAGACAGTAGATAGTAGTAGATGCTTCCAGGATAGAATACACTTTTGCCTTTCACCAGGGGATGGATCCTTTTTAAAATAAGAATTAAAGTACAGTACTTACATAGATCTGTGGACCATTTGACTCAGTTTTTTGGAGTTGATTTTATGACTAAAATTTCTTGACTTATACATGAGTATATACAGTAATTGAGCTACCTACAGCCAAGATGACGTAGTTGTATGGATGTTGAACTATAACTCTGGAGAGCAGGGTTTGATTCCTAGCTCAGCCATGAAACCCACTGGGTGACCTTGGGCAAGTCACATGCTCTCAGCCTCAAAGGAAGGCAATGACAAACCTTCGCTAAATAAATTCTGCAAAGAAAATCCCATGATAGGCTTGCCTTAGGGTCACCATTAGTTGGAAATGACTTGAAGGCACACAACAACAACAGCAACAAGAAAAGTTCGCAATGAGATGAAACAGTGGCCAGAAGCGATGTTATGTCACTTCCATTGTGCCAAAACATGATAGTGTGACCTCCCACTACACTACACGGTCTTTTGTGGAATGGTTTGTTGTTGTTGTTGTTGTTGTTGTTGTGTGTCTTTAAGTCATTTCAGTCTTATGGTGACCCTTTGGTGAACCGATCATGGGGTTTTCTTGGTGAGAGTTGTTCAGAGAAGGTTTGCAATTTCCTTCCCTTGAGTCTGAGAGCATGTGACCTGCCCAAGGTCACCCAGTGGATTTCGCAGCTGAGCAGGAAATTGGACCCTGGTCTCCAGAGTTGTAGTCCAACACTCAAACCACTGCGCCATGCTGGCACTCTGAGTGGAATGGTAGTGAGCCATATTAGCCCTCTAGCAGATGGGGGCTGCAGCCTGCCACTGTACCTGCTCCTGCAAAATAAAATAAAATAAAATAAAATAAAATAATAAACTTATGTGCTCCCACATGCCATCTAGTGAACAAGGTAGACATTTTCGCCTCTCGGAAGTGCTTTCCTGGACTATTTTAAGTTAGTGGAAGTCCTGTGTCAAATAAGGCCTACCCCCCCAAAAAAACAACAACAACACATAGTTGAAATGTCTGCAGAATCATAGAAGGCATTTTAGGCACTCACAAGAGAGAGAGAAGAGAGAGAAACTTTTGGAAAATTTTGCAAAAAAAAATTGCAAAATTTTTGACTCTGAGTTGGCCTCCAAATGTGAAAATGCCCACCACACCCCTAGAGAGCTGGGGAAGGCATTTTGTAGCAGAAATATTGTTTGAAAGGACATATGCAGAAAAGCAGGATGACTTTCACTGAAAAACAACCACTATTCTTGAAGTCTTCTATGGCACAAATTGAAGTTCTAGAATTGCTGTTAGTTAGGAAATGAATTGGGTAAATTCATTTGGGAATTGGGTTAAGAAATGAATTGGGAAAATTATTTGAACTTTTTTTTTTTGGTATCATCATTTTACTCTTCTGGAGGGTTCTGGGGGCCATAAAAATGCCCTAGGGAATGCATTTTGCCTACTCCTGCTTTAAGCATAGAGAAAATACACCAAACTCCTTGCATTAGGGGATTATTGTATTAAAATGCACACAGAAGAGGCGATCTCACAGTCCAGTACTGGACTGGGATGGGAAGAGAATATTGGTTGGGTTCTGAAATACACAGTGAAAACCAAACTGACAGATGTTCACATCCCCGGTCGTACAATTATCTCATTGACCCTTGCAATTTGAGATGCACAAGCTCATCCCTGCTTGACACAGAAATAAAGCAAATCCTCTCTGAAATTCATTTATTTTCTGAGCCAATCTAAGCCAAGTTAGGTTATGGGGAATAATTTTCCATATTGTTCCACGGAGATGTGAATCGTGAGATGTAGTCACCTGTGAACCTTTGTTTGCTAGTGTTAAACGGATCCAAGAAAGTGAGAAGAAGGTTATTTTTCATTGCCACAGCCAGAATGGAGAATTGATGCATTGGCACCTTCAAAATATTGTTAATCTTTTTTTTATTATTTGAAAAAAGCCTGGTATGATACAGCCCAAAGCCCATTTCTACGTCTAGTCAAATAGCTGAGACATAGTCTAGCATCACATAGCCGCAAGAGATTTGATCTGCATTATGTAGGCGAAGCTAATCTTTTTGCATTTTGCCCAGTGATAATTAACATCTAATTCTAAATTACTTCATTTGTGCCCAACTAGTTTGTCTTGATTTGTGCTAATATATTTTGGCACTTCTCTGCTGGCTTAAACCTTGTCGCTAAATTTCTTCCTAAATTCCACTGAGCATGCACAATAAATTAAATTAAGTAATGATTTTTCATTACATCATTGATTTTGCTAGGCCACAAGTGAATGTTTTAGAGTTCCAGGAAACTGAAGTTGCAAATATTACAAGGTTACTGTGTTTATCTGCTGTTATTCCATATAAAAATTAGTGTGGATATTCCATAGCCAGCATCGATATAGAACAGGCTATTTCCATGTTCAATTGCTGGAAACACAGTTGGAAAAGAAGGAAATTGACTGTATCCATGGATTCTGCCTCCATGGATATAACCATCCATGGCTTGAAAATATTTTTTAAAAATTCCAGAAAACAAATCTTGATTTCGCCATTTTATATAAGAGATACCATTTTACTGTGCCTTTGTATATAATGGGACTTGAGCATCCATGGATTTTGGTATCTCAGGGGGAGCGTGGAACCAAACCTCAACAGATACCAATGGCCCAGCGTACTTGAAACTGCCTTCTACTGAGTGGATCCATAGAGCTGCCTAGTCCAATATGGTCTGATGGATCACAGCTTTCTTGCAGTCTAACCCAGTGGTTCTCAAACTTTGGCTCATCAGCCATTTTGGACTTTGCTCCCAGAATTTCTTGTTATTGACCATGATAGATAGGGCTTCTGGGAGTTGAAGGTCAAAGCACCTGCAGGACTGATATTGAAAACCACTGGTCTAACCCAAGATCCTTGAGCTGAAGTTGCTAAAAATTGAAGTTGGAGTCCATACGTAATAAGAAACTTTAAAAAATAAATATAGTCGCCCCTCCATTCTCGCGGACTTCAAGTCTGTGGTTTTACATATTCACGAAAGGGCGACCTCCGTTTAAATCAATGGGGCACACCCCTACAGGTGCACCCCATTCAAGCCTATGGGGCTTGAATATTTGCTAATCTCCATTTTTGCAGGAGGGTCCTGAACGGATCCCCATGAAAATAGAGGGCCAAGTGTAGTAATTTTGGGAAATACAGTTTGCACAATCTCCTGGTGAATTGGGAGCAGGGCAAGGGGGATTCTGGGAATTGTATGCCAAGAGGGTAACATATGCTCTGCTAGGATCTGTCACAACAATCGGCTATGGTCTATGATGTAGTGGTTTGAGTGTTGGACTGGGACTCTGGAGAACAGGGTTCAAATCCCTGCTGGAGCATAAAAACCCACTGGGTGACCTTGGCCAAGTTATAGTCTCCCAACCTCAGGGGGTGTCAATGGCAAACCCCCTCTGAAGAAATCTGCCAAGAAAACTTTGTGATACGTTTGCATTAGGGTCACCATAAGTCAGAAATGACTTGAAGGCACACAACAACAACAACAAATGATCTTTAAAAACCCCACTTAAATCGCATTAGCAGAACTCTGGAATTGCGTAAAAAAATGGATATATATATATATATATATATGGCATTCTGGGTAGCACATAGGGCAAAGAGAGGGGGTTAAAGGGGAGTGCAGAAGAGAACCCAATGTCAGAAGCTGCCCTAGTCACATGGTTGACAAGACATGAAATAATAACATCTCAATTTTTAATAACTGATGAGATTTCGGCAAGAATAAGGATCATGTGGTAATGTCCTGAGTTATGCTCTGCCACTTTAATAATGCAGAAGAAACATGGACTTCTTGCACTGGCTCTGTCAAAGAAAGGGGCAATAAACTGGTTCTAAATGAGAGGAAGGTTCAAAGGATGTGCTTGGCTTCTGTGCTTATGTATTCCTAGCCACAGACTCAAAAAAACTTTCCAGTGGCCATTCTGACTGGGGGATTCTGAATGCTGTAGTCTAAAATAACAAGAAAAGATTTGGTGGAGGTTTTTTTTTCATTCCTCCCACATGGTATCTGCAGAGATGGAACCATTCCACCTTGTTTTAAACCACTTACATTATAAAATATGTGTTGACTGTGCAAATGATGGAATCTGAAGGTGTACAGTGAGGACAACTGAAAGATTTGTTACTCAGCTAATGAAAAATCATCCCAGATTGTCTACTTAACCTTTCCAAGACATCTGAGAACATTTTAAATAAAAATGTGAAAGGGTAAGACTGATGCCTCCCTTTCTATTAGATAGAGAGATATGATAGATTGCTGGAGAGGCTCTCAATAATTAAAATGGCAATAATGACATATATTGCCAGGAGAAAAAAAAACATGGCAGAAATAGGTATGGCAGATAAAACACAGTCCAAACACTATATCACACCTGCTGCATATTGAAAAATAGCATTAGCTTTTATATTGTAGGCTGCTACAGTAGCTTTCAAGTACGTAGACCAACATCCAGAGTTCTGGATGGTTATTAAGCTGCCATCGATATTTCTGCCTTCTCCTTCCAAACACCATGATTTTAATTTTTGAATAATTAACCTCTAAAAGTTCCTTTCCACAGTATTCTCCTGGGATTTGAGCACTTCTCTAGGCATTCGTAGGCCATCCAACTCAATCTGGGGGTCGGCATCTAGCAGATGTTGACCATGGAGTTGTGCTGGAGGACCTACAGATTCCTAAAAGAGGTATTATCTCTGGTAAAAAAAAAAATAATGTATTTGTTATTTGCAGTTTTCCCACTTTCACAAGGATCCTGTGCTCCTAACCCCAGCGAATGTGGAGGGCCCACTATATAGCATTGAGAAACAAATTGCTTTACACCATATATTGCTGCTTTCCAGACATACTTGATACTGTTGGCTATGGGTCACAGGAACTGTGCCTTTACATTGCTGGGAAACAAGGCGCAATTCATGTCCAGCTTGCGAGGCTTCCGACAGGTGAACTAAATAGGCCTTTAGTCTGACTCAGCATGGTTCTTATGTTCTTCTCAGATAGGACTGTGTATTTCTAAATAAAATACTGGCAGAGAACCTACATTCTGCTTGGGAGGTGGAAATCATCACTTACGTAGTTACAAGGTGGTTGTGCTATTCCACCTTTATGCTGAATAATGACACTATGCAAGTGATTGCATGCCCTCCAGCATTTCACAGATTAAAACTGGGACATATGTGCCCAAAGAACATTAGAATGCAATCAAGATGGCAAAAGTTATTAATGAGGAAACACACAAGCTAGGAGGATCTGCTGAAAAGACAAGATTCTGTTCCTTTCTCTTCTCTCCCTTCTGCCAAACTGAGTGCAAACTATTTTGCACCGAAATCAGAATACATCTACATTGTAGAAATAATGCCGTTTGACACCAATCTAAGTGCTGAAGCTCCATTCTATGGAGTCCTGGGGTATGTTGTTTTACAATGTCTTTAGCTTTCTCTGCTGAAGAATGCTAGTGCCTCACCAAACTACAGATCACAGAGTTTCTCTAGGACAGAGCCAAGGCAGTTAAAGTGGTGTCAAACTGCATGATTTCTACAGTGCAGATGAACTCTCACTTTGTAGCCATTGAAGAATGCTGAGGACAAATGGGGAAAGTGGGATGTTTTGAAAACATCTGACAAAATGGGATGACAGAGGATTAATTGGGACTGTCTCTGCCAAACTGGGACAGTTGGGGGGGGGGGGTTGACTGTATATTTGCCAATATACCTGCTCATTGTACCATTGTGCAATCCTGGTGAATAAAATGGAGCATTGAAAGTACTGATGGATAGTAACACACCATCCAAGAATGTGCAGCTGTAGAAATACATGCTAGAGATGACCCATTATGGAATACTCAATATAAGCAAGTAGTTAACTTAAAAGTCCTCTTTATATTCATTAATAATTCCTGATACTACCCAGCTAGACAAAACAAGACCAGTAACAGTGGACCTTGTAAGAGAACAGGATAACACAACAACTCTCTGTCTAATTTCTTGGCACATGACTGCATCTGCACTGCAGAAATAATGCAGTTTGATAACCACATGAATGCCCAGGGTTCAGTACTATGGAATTCTGGGAATTGTTGTAGCACCAGTGCTCTCTGACGTTGTTCTTGTGCCCCTTCAAGTTGTTTCTGACTTATAGCGATCCCAAGGTGAACTTATTAGAGTGTTGTGTTTTTTGGCAAGTTTCTTCAGAGCGGGGTTGCCATTGCCATCCTCTGAGGCTGAGAGAGTGTGATTTGTCCAGGATCACCCAGTGGGTTTCATGCCTGAGCAGGGATTCACACTCTCTTTTACAGATTCATAGTCTAACACTCAAACCACCGCTGACAGAGAAGACTAAATGTCTCGCAAAATTACATTTCCCAAATTTCCACAGCATTAAGCCATGGCAGTTAAAGCAGTGTCAAAATGGATTATTTCTGCAGTGTGGATGCAGCCTTTGTTGCTTTAAGATAGATAAGATTTTATCTGCCTAGTTATTATTTTACTGGCTCCTGAATACAACATGAGGAACTTTAAGTACAATACAATACAGTTGTCTCTCTGTTTTCGCAGACTTGAAGTCCCTATGGGGCTTGAATATTTGTGGTATTCCATTTTCGCAGGAGACTCCAGTATGGATCCCCCATGAAAACGGAGGGGCAACTGTATTGTGATTAGTTCCATGAGCAACCCAATTCATTCAGATGCATGTAATAGATATTGATACACAATACTGAATGTAAGTGATGCTAAGTAGACTCTCAGTATAAAAACATGTAGGTTTTCTAGCAGTACTTACGCAGACATAAACTTGTTGCCATAAATTAGTGGTGGTCTCCCAGGATATTATTCTGTTATGGTTCGCATTAGCATTTATTTAGCACTGATAAGTTTTCTTGTTGAAAATGTCAAGTTTTTCATATATACGTACTAGGAGCGGTCTTCCTTACAAAACCTTTGTAACATAGGTGTTTATTGTTATTACCATCTTGGGAGGTTGAAGCCTGCCTCTGACTCCTTAAAGACTTGGTGAGAAATGTATTTCAACAGAGGTCTTAAATCTCAGACAGGATGCATCTGCAATATTGTGTCCAGTTTTGGGTTCTACTTTTAAAGGAGGACATTGACAGACTGGATCATGCCAGATAAAGTTTAGATTGGGTAAAGGGTTCTGGAAAGCAAGTTTAGTGAGGAATGATTGAAAGCAGGGAGTGTGTTTCACTTAAAGAAAATAATAAAGGGAGACATCATAGCAATCTTCAAATATCTGAAGAGCTGTCATGCAGAAAATGGAATAGAGGGCACAACCAATAAATAGGTAGAAGTTGAGGAGAAGCAGATTTGGTGCCAAACAATAAGAGAAAACCTCCTAACAGAGAAAGTAGTGGGTCCTTGTTTGCTTGAGATATTTAAGCAAAGGTTAAGGCACCGTTCTTGCATTGAACAGAGAGGCTGGATTAGATGACCATCAGAATGACTCTGACCTCAAAGAATATATTTTGTATTCGTTTTATAAAAGCTAACCAGAACTCCTAAGAAAGCAGAAGCATTCATCCAAATGAATGAATGAATGAAAGACACCCGTCCCCCATTAAACCAATAAATGCATATTAAAAATTTTAAAAACAGAACTCTAGAACAAGAGATAAAAAGAAAAGCTAAAAAGTCAAGATGAATTGAACAAATGTATTTAAAAAAACCTACAGCAGGCTTAGTAATAGGCAAGCCAATCTTTATTCCCCCCCCCCCCCCCCCCCCGCAAGAATATTCCAAAGTCACCTATTAAAAGTCCCTGTCACAGAGTGCCACATGCTACAAATTTGTAGGTGTGGAAACTCAAAGAAAATACTCAAAAGGAAGATCCCAGTAATTGGGATTACTCAATAACGGTGATTAAGAAAAAACAGGGCTGCTGCCACTCTGCAGAATCAATGCAATTTCAGTCAATGCAATTTCACACTGGAATCCTGGGATTTGTCGTTTGTTGTGAGGTCTCATCACACAGGACGGATCCTGTGCAGAAACTGGATTTAAACTGAAAAAAACCCCCACAAAAGTGGGTAGTTTTTCAGATGACGTTCAGGGTTAACCCAAACAGAAAGTAGAAAACCCCTGCAAAAGTGTGTTGTTTTTCAGACAATGTTAGCATTAAAAACAAAAGTGTGTTGTTTTTCAGACAATGTTAGCATTAATGAGAATTAATGTGACCTTAACCTGTATGGAAACTAGACAAAACCCACTCCTTTTTACATTCAGAAAATCCCAAAAGTAAAAAGAGACGGGTTTTGTCTACTTTCTGTTTCGGTTAATATCACATTGACCCCATTGTGTGTGAAAAACTACCCATT